TGGAATTCATTTCTGGACTGTGACATCAATTCGTCCTCAGTTTTGGATAAAGTTTAATGGCTTTGATCATTAACAAAATCAAAAGTATAGTTTTTTAGTGCTTAAGATACTTGATAAACTCCCTTTGCTAGCTGGAGAAAGGGAAAATATTTTTTTACAGGTGCAGGTAAACTTCAGCTGAGTTGATGCAAGCTGCAGAACACATGAGCAGAAGGCAGTACTTTGGTTAAGGTCACACAGGCAGGACTGCTGATCAGTCTCCAATGCAATCCTTTGAAGCAGGCTGCTCTAAACAGTAACAGAATTTGACACAAGCTGCTTCAGAATAAGGTGAGTACAACTTGCATTTGCTGGTTCAGCACTGAAGTATAAAAACTGGGGGTGGTCAGATGCTGGAACAGACTTCTTGGAGAGGTGGTCAATGCCCCCAGCCTGTCAGTGCTCAAGAGGCAGGCTTTAACGTTGGGCCAGCCCTGAAGTGCTCAGGCAGTTCACTTCCAACTAAAATATTCTGCTCTATTTAAAAATGAGCTTTCTTTGGCATCACATTATTTCCTCAGAGAAAAAAAACCCCAACAAAACCCAACAAAACCAACCTTTTAAAAGCCCCAGAAGTCAAAATAACTGTATTTTACCTTCAATAAGACATGAGCCATAGTTTATTTTAGTTCCTTGTTGATGCCATTAAGGGGAAATACACTTGTCATACCTGAAAAGCAGATAGTGCACCTGGAAGTGCTTTGCCTCTTCTGTAGGTAACTCTGTGGATTCCAGTGTGATGGGTATCTCACAGTGCTGGCTTTCTTCCCCAAGCAGTTCCACTGGCTTCTGACAGATGATGAATTCATCTAATTCAAGCTGCAAACTGTCTGTTGAAGGACCTTCATCTTTTACACCTTAGCAAGGAAAATGCAGTATTAATTATTCAAGCCATTCCATTTAGCAGGAAGAAAATTATATGACACAATATCAATTAAATCCTCCAATTGCAGCAATGCCCTCCTTAAATAATGAGGTTTTGAAAGCAGCTGTGCTAGAAGATGAGAACAAACCTTCACTGAAGTCTCAACAGTCTGAATATTTAAGAGTTGATATTTCTGAAAGAACAGGGAAACTGTCAGAAGGTAAGTCCAAGGCAACCTGTGAAGGAAATGGCTGCCCCTCAAAAATGTGTCACTTGATTGGAGGAGTTTTAAGAAGGAAAAGGCAGCTATAAGCGAATGTTGCGTTATCTTAAAACTCACTCAAAAGTCTGGAAAGTTAATCCTAACAGCACACAGAAAGTAATTAAAACTTTCCTGTTTAGCTTTTAGTAATAAAAACAACTAGGGGGAGGATACCATTATGAGTTAAGATCACCCAATGAAGAACATTCCAGTTTATATTGTCCCTAACAAGTGTTCTTTATTTTTTTTCTAGGTAGTTCCAATTTCTGAAAGATCATCCTTGTCTGGTTCAAGTTTGAATAAGACAAAGAACTGAAAAAGGAGCATTTGCTCACACCTTGTTTATGCAGGTCCTGAGCCTACTGGCAGTTACACGAATGCACATGCATCACCACAGCAGCATTCTTCAGTGTGTGACCAGTATGCACAGTCCATTTCCAGGGTCATGAGATGCTGCCTCCCTTCAGCCTCCCACTTGTGCCTCAGAAGACATGCAGTTATTTGGGCAGTGACACCAGTGGAATTACTTTTCTGAACACAGCACACTGAACTACTACTGCTTTGATTTGGCCCATGCTGGCACCCCAAAACAGGGACCTAATTCTCTGTCTGTAGAGGCTGCACTACCCTGAAGGTGTCTGCAGAATGATGGCACACGTATTTTGCTACCTCCAAGTGCAGGCAGTGCAACTTTTCATGCACTACACTATTCAACTGTCTGTCCCGAAGAAGATCTGGAAGCATCTTCTGAGGGGAAATGACCTTTTCTCAACCTACTCTGAGAATAACAAGATTCAGTTAGCAGACTCTTGGAAATAAATAAAGAATTACTTTCTGTACTTACGTCCATCCACAGGCTTCTCTAGTGTGCTAACCCCATGTGCACACTGCTCTGTCCCATCTGCACTTTGCTGGACCAGTTCCAGTTTCAGGATCAGAACGTCTAGCTCTGTTGTTATGGCTATATGTTTGGCACAAAATGCAACTTCAGCTGGAACAACGTTATCAATGTGCAGAATTAAGGAGCGCTCAAAGTCTAACACAGTCAAATTCTGGTTTATGACCAGATATTTCAAACAGAACACAACCAGCTTATTTGTGCAGCCCACAAGAAGATCTCCAGTTACAGGACAACAGGAAATGCACAGCGGAGGATCTGAAAGTGGCATTTCCACAATTGACATCTGTTCTTTTAAGGTTTCACTGTACGACTCCTCCATCTTGTGACCAACCATCCGAACACAGACGCGAGAGCTCCCTGCAGACATGCATCGCCAGTTCACATACGCTCGCAGGAAGGTTGCTTCGCTTTTTTCTTCAATTGTCACCAGATAGTCTCCTTAAAAGAAAGCAGCAATACTGTTACAACATTAGCGAGTAGATGACACTGCTTTTGAGCTCTTTACCTGCTGTAGTACGTGCCAAGGAAAATCTTAAAATCTCAACCCTTATGCAGAATTCCAAAAAGGATTTAAAAATCCAAAATGGAAGTTTCTTTGCTTGTTAGAACACGCTTCCCATCCCCTTCGAAAAAAGGGATTACAGATCTAGGTCCAGATGAACTGCCAAGTGAATCCACTTCACGAGCTGTGATTACAGACAAGGTGCTTCACCCCGCCCCCAACTCCCCTTAGCGGGGAAGTTTGGTTCTCCCAAGGCCCGGGCGGCGCGGCCGGAGCGACCCCCGCCCCGCGCTCGGAAGGAGAGGCCAAGCGGGGCTGAGGGGCGGCAGGGAGGCCGGGAGCCCCGCGGGGCTGAGGGGCGGCAGGGAGGCCGGGAGCCCCGCGGGGCCCTCCCTC